GCACGGTTCAAAAGAAATGTTATATGAACCACATATGTAATTCTAATTTTTTTGTCCACATGCCAAAGTACAAGAAATTAACTTTAATAATATATTTTATTTAATCCATCTTATCTAAAATATTCTCATTTTAACATATAATGAATATTAAACATTAATGATGAAATATTTTCCTTTTGGTCATACTAAGTCTAATTGCATTTTGTGCCTACAGCACATCGCAGTTTGAACTGACCATATTTCAATTGCTTACAGGCATATGTGGCAGGTAGCTGCTGTATTAGACAGTGCAGCTCTAAGGTATAAATGAATAATCCATGCAGGCTGTCTTACCCAAAAATAAAAGACATGGTAGGATTTCAGTTTCCTTCAAATCACACCACAAAGATGCCTCCAAGTTCTTCTAGTCCTGCATCAGGGCTGTCTGACTCAGGGGGCTTAGTGGATAAAGCATGAGCTATTGTTGTTTTGAGCAAGGTGTTGCTGTCACCTAGGCGAGAGTGCAGTGGTGCCATCATAGCTTATTGTAGCCTTGGACTCCTGGGCTCAAGCGATGCTTCCACCTCAGCCTCTTGAGTAGCTGGGACCACGGATGCATGCCATATGCCCAGCTAATTTTTTAATTTTTGAAATGGGGTCTTACTATGTTGCCTGGGCCAGTCTCAAGCTCCTTGCCTCAAGCAATCCTCCTGCCTTGGCCTCCCAAAGCACTGGGATTACAGGTGCGAGCCCAGTCAAAGCTTGAGTTTTCTACTCAGGCAAGCTTGAACTAGGATCTGAGTTCTGCCACTCTCTAGTTGTGTGACACTGAACGAGTTGCCTACCTTCAGAACTTGTTTGCTCACGTGTGAAGGAGTATAGGGCTTCCTGGCAGGTCCCAGTGAAGATGGAGCAGGCTCATGTATGCGTAGCCTGGCAGGTGCTGGAATCAAAGATCCGCTAGCCCTGGTGTGCTCTGTGAACCCTTTGCCTGTCTCGGAACCATCAGCCATTCAAGAGCTTCCTTGAGGCTTGATGGCATCTTCCCTTGCTTTTCCTCCCAAAAGCCTGGTATTGGCTACATCCACTGCTGGTTAGAACCATCTCTTTCACTCCTCTTTCAATAGCTATTTACTAGATAACCACTATTTCAGCCCAGGCCCTTGCTAGGCATGAGGGTTTCAACAGTAAACAAGATAAACATAAATCCTGCTCTTGCAGAGCTCCGGGTCCACCAGGGGAGAAAGGCGTCGAATGAGGTTGGCCTAAGACCTAAGCATGTATAAAACCGACATTCTTTATTCTCTTTAAAAATCAACTTAATTTCTACTCCGAATGCCCATCCTGCCAGATCATCAGGAAATTCAATTGCAGCCTTTCTTAGAGTTCTCTGACCAAGGTGAAGCAAAGGTCCTGTGGTCTTACACAGTGCCCAAGCACCAGGGAGCCCCCCACACCCACCCCAGCAGACATCAGCACCAGCCCACTGTGGTCATGGTGATGCCCACTTGCCATCCTGGCCCATGCAGTTTGGAGCAGAGTCTTGGTGAGGCTGGGAATGTGGGAGCCCAGCCTCCCTAGGTCAGCCTGCATTCTGCCCCTTGGAGGTGAATTGTTTCTGTGAGCCTTATCTCAGAGGGTACATGGCTCCTCACTGCTCATGGAACCCACAGACTGCTCTGTCTCTGCCCCTTCCTCTTTTCCAGGCTTTATTTTAGGGAAGATGGTATTCTTTTCCCCTCATCCTCAGAGCCTCCCTCTCTCCTCACACCCACCACAACACTCAGCAGAGTCTTCTCAAGGGACTCAAGCTCTGGAAACAAACGACAGGAAGGGAAATCTGCAACCCATTACTGTTTTCTGCCCTGCCACGAACATTCCCTGAGGACAGGAAACCCAGAGCCTGCTCCCTGCTGGAATGAAAGAAGAGAGAATAAAGGGACAAAAGCCCTAGGGAACAAACACATGAATTAATAGTTGAACGAATTGTCCTGCTGGGAGAGGCCAGCGTTGAGCCAGCCAGCCTCAGGAAGCCAGGTGGGGGAGGCATGGAACAGGGTACCCCCCAAAGTGGTGGTTGACATGAAGGTTCTGAAATGTGGGGAAATCCAGTATTTGCCTCATGATGATCTCACAGAAAAAACAAGATGGGAGAAGAAAGAGAAAGTGACAGACCCCAACCAAAGGGTGAGTCCTGTAGGAACCTCACAGTCAACATGGGAAGAGGAGGCAGAACCAGGAAGCCCAGAGGAGCACTCAACCCCATAGGCCTTCCCTATGGCCCATGGCATCCTGGCCCTGGACTTGGCCTGCACACTCCTAGTTACAGGGAGCTTGCTGCCTCCCAGGGAAGCCTCTGCCAAACTGCTGTCCACACTGGGTGTAAGTCTTCTGTTACAGGGTCTCACTCTATCACCCAGGCTGAAGTGCTGTGGCATGATCTCAGCTCACTGCAACTATTACCAGAAAGGGGTCTGGATCCGGACCCCAAGAGAGGGTTCTTGACCTTCACTGAAAAAGAACTCAGGGCGATTCCGTATAGTGAAGTGAGAGCAAGTTTATTAAGAAAGTAAAGGAAAAAAGAATGGCTATTCCACAGGCAGAGCAGGGTGTTTCCGAAAGCAAGAAGAGGAATGCGTCCACCCTAGGTACAATACATGTTTATATATAGGATAAAAAAAAGATCACGGGTGTTGAAAAATGCACACTTTGAATGAGGAGACCTTCCAAACAGGCTTTGTGTGAGCAACATGGCTGTTTATTCACCTGGGTGCAGGTTTGGGTAGTGTTTTGGGGGGCGGGGGTGTTGCAGAGTGAGATCAGTTACAGTGGTGGGGGTTAGGGGGCAAGGAGTATACATGACCACAAGTTCAGTTACAATGGCACGGTTGGGTGAGAGGTGTTTACATTGTCATAAGAACAGTTAAGATGACAGGGTTGGGTGAGGGGCTTGTCCCGGGAAGCGATCAGGGACAATGGTGAATGCAGGCAGAAGGTAGGAGACATCAGCTGAGGCAAGCAGGACTTCAGACTTTCAGGCTCCAGCCTTGCATATGGAGACCTGACAATGGGGAGATGTGCTCTGCCACAAGGGTTTGTGATAAAGCATTTTCTTAATTACTATATTGTGCAAGAACCGATATTGTTATATGTAAATTTTCAGTGCTGCAAAAGAAGTAGCATTTGAATATAAATTTCCTCAGCAAGGCAATTTACCTCTATAGAAGGGTGCAGCTCACAGATGGAACAATGGTGAGCGTACACCTGGACAAGGGACCCCTACTGCTGTATTGTTCCCCTATTGGCTAGGGTTAGACCACGAAGTCTAAGCTAATTCCGATTGGCTGTTTTAAAGAGAGTGGGGTACAAGCTGGAAATTCAGGGTGGGTAGTTTGGCTGGAAGGACAGTTACAGGACAGGTCAGAGCAAATGACCAGAGGTGACTCAAGTCAAAGCAGGTGACCAGGACAGGTGACCAGAGCGGGAGACCGGATGAGTCAGGACAGAGTAGGGGACTAAGGAAACAGGTGTGAACCGATTAGAAATGGTGGAAAATGTTGTTTACTGGAACTACAAGGATATTAAACCTTAAAATAGAGAATTAAAGAATAAGAGAGCTGAACATACTGACATACTGATTCTTTGAAGAGAAACTTGAAGTTCACTATATCTAATATTATTACCTTTAAAGCAAATTTAGGAATGCTTCTGTTCTCAAAACATTGGGATATCATGACACTGCTAAGCCTGGGTCTGGTTAGTAAACATTATCGATCTGTTCCTTTAACCATAAACAACCGGCAGCTAGGAATGCCTCACTTTCTGGGAATGCAGCCAGCAAGTCCCAGCCTCATTTTCCTAGCCCTTGGTCAAGATGGAGTCGCTCTGATTCTAACGCCTCTGACACAATCTCCATCTCCCTGGCTCAAGTGATCCTCCTTCCTCAGCCTCCTGAGTAGCTGGGACTACAGGCGTGTGCCACCATGCCTGGCTGATTTTTTTTTTTTTTAAGACAGTCTCACTCTGTTGCCTAGGCTGGAGTGCAGCGGCACGACCTTGGCTCACTGCAACCTCTGCCTCCCAAGTTCAAGCCATCCTCCTGCCTCAGCCCCGCTAGGAGCTATAGGATTATAGGCGAGTGCCTATTTATCTTTATTTCCTTTCTTCTTTCTGACAATTAGAAGATAGTGATTTTGCCCCCTCCCCCAACATGCACGATATTCTCTTCCTCTCTTTTTCAAGAGTTGCACATAGGCTGTCCCCACACAGGTGGAGGGATACACTCCAGGGTGTCCATGGGCATCTTCACAACTTGGACCCAAAGCTGATCCTGTCCTCTGGGTGTGGCCTGACTCATCCAAGAGGAGCAGTGACAGTGGGAGTGAAGATTGATTGGACTGGTGTGTTGGTGTTTTGAGTAACGTTGGTGGTGATGATGAGGTTAGTGATATTGATCCTGGCGAAGACAGCGGTAGTGGTGATGATGTCAGAGGCAGTGATAATGATATTGGTTATGGTGATTCTGAAGGTTCAAGTGACAGTGATAATGGTGATTGTACTGCTGGTCGTGATCATGACAGAGGCAACAATAACAATCCTCATATTGCGATGGTAATGTCATGACTAAATTTGTCATTTAGTCTCAGTGATACGGGTCATGTGAGTGAGGGTGATATTTAAGGTGATAGGGGTAGAAATGATGATGATTATGGTGGTAATTTTCATGAAAATGTTGGTGATTATTATGATGTTAATAATGGTCATGCCAACTAACCCACGTGGACACTGGTAATAGTGATGACAAAGTTTAACCACAAGGATTTTATTTATTCTTTCAAAACCACTTGTGGGGTACCTGTAGGGCCAAGAACAAGTGGAACACTGTAGGCCCCAGTTGCTTCTGAGGAGATGACAGGGCCCTCATCCTCTCCTTTCCAAGACCTCTCCTCCCAGCCCACAGCCATCTCTGAGTGGGATCACTGGCCTCCAATGGACTGTCCTTGGTTTTGTGTCTCCTTTAGGGCAAGGACTCTCCCACTGAGCAGAGGCCTGGGGAGTCCACGAAGAAGCAGGAGGGCCCAGTCCAGATTGCACCAAACCTGACTGTGATCCAGTTCATCAAAGGTAAGTCAGCTCAGACCAGGATATGGGAAGCGAGGGCCAGAGTGGCCCTCGAAGCTATACAGGATCCAGTCCTTCCTGCCTTTTTTGATTCATCTTCTCCACCTGCACACCCCTCATGAGCACCATCTACTCCATGTAAGTCTTTGCACATGTGATTCTCTCTGCCTGGACCATCATTTTTTATTGCTGTCAAAACCTTCCCTATGGGCCAGGCGTGGCGACTCACATCTGTAATCCCAGCACTTTGGGAGGCCAGATCACTTGAGGTCAGGAGTTTGAGACCAGACTGGCCAACATGGTTAAACCCATCTCTACTAAAAATACAAAAATTAGCCAGGCATGGTGGTGGGCGCCTGTAGTCCCAGCTACTTGGGAGGCTGAGGCAGAAGCATCACTTGAACCCGGGAGACAGAGGTTGCAGTGAGCCGAGGTGGCGCCACTGCACTCCAGCCTGGCAACAGAGCGAGACTCCGCCTCAAACAAAACAAAACAAACAAACAACAACAACAACAAAAACCTTCCCTATCCCTCTAGGACCAGCTCAAAAGCCACTACTTTCTCCACATGTCCAGCTCTCCCACCCAGCAAGGCTGTTTCTCTCCCTCTTTGGCTCTCAGAACCCTCAGGGGTTCTAGATCAGTTCAGATCTGAACCTCCTGAAGGTCAGGCCTGTGCTGGCTCATCTATGACCCTTCCTCTCCTCCCACCCGCCACTGAGCCTGCAAATGGGAGACCATCAGGAAACTGTCAAATTCCCAGGCAGTGTGGCATGGGCAGAGAGAGCTCTGGGCTAAAATCCAGAACTTGGGCTTTTGTCCTTGATCCCACTCTTTTCTGGGCCTTCGTTTCCCCATCTACATAGTGAGGAGTAGACTCAGTGATCTAAGGTCTCTGATCCTGAGACTGTGAACTCAGTCTTTCAGTAACCAGAGTACACATTATGACCAGGCCATTCTTTCTCAAGATTATGATCCCATAAGTATTGATTGAGTGCCAGCCATGTGCTCAGCTCTTACAGAGCCCTGGAGGGCATGTCAGAGGACTTGGATTTGAGTCCTGCCCCTAACAGTGACCAGTGTACAATCTTAAAGAAGTTAGTTTCCTTTTCTAAATTGAGTTTCCTCATCTGGAAGATTGGGTCAATAATCCTTGCTCTGCCTCTCTCAAGGGCTATTATGAAAATCACATGAGATGAAGAATGGAAAGCCTCTTTATGCTACTAAAAAAAAACTGTACTTATATATAAGGTACAATTATTTCAGTTATTGCTCTTGGTCTACGGTTATTCTGACCATGCTCTAGGATAGTAAACTGCGGTGCCTGTGGTTTAGGAGGGTAATATCCATAGGGGTTGCTTCATTTCTTACTGAGGATTTCTGCAACAGGAAGGAATTAAGCTATTCTTGGGAAGAGCCTTCTAAGATTTGATGTTGGGGCAGGACAAGGTGGCTCACACCTGTAATCCCAACACTGTGGGAGACCAAGGCAGGAAGACCTTTGGAGCCCAGGAGTTTCAGACCAACCTGGACAACATAGGGGGACCCTGCCTCTTCAAAAAAAAAAAAAAGAAAGAAAAAGAATTAGCGGGGTTGGTGGTGCACACCTGTGGTCCCAGCTACTGGGGAGGCTGAGGTGGGAGGATTGCTTGAGCCTGGGAGTTTGAGGCTGCAATGAGCTCTGATCTCACCACTGTACTCCAGTCTGGGTGACTGAGAGAAACCCTTTCTGAAATTAAAAAAAAAAAAAAGACTTGATATTGGGATATCAGTAATCTAGCCCCCAGTTTTTCAGCATTCCCAGGGAAATGGAGAGGACCTGCATTCCTGGCACAGGTCTGGGCCCAGATGCAGGGTCTGGGACTCCTTAGCCTCAGGCCACCTCCCATGCTATTAAGCCCCAGCACATTGCACTGCTGAATTGCTTATTAATCACTGTTTTGACTTCTGCCAGGAGGGAAGCTGGGGCCAGTTGCTGAAATTGGAACCTAGAGCGAGTGTTCTAGGCCAGATTGTCTCTGGTGGTTTCAGCTTCTACATGATCTGGAAGGCCCTGTGGCCGGTGAGCCAAGTTGGCTTCTGCTGAGCTCCAGGGGCCAGTCTGACTCTAGGGCCTGGTCTTGACCACCTGGGGAAGGCCAAGGGAGGAGGAAGCATGGTCCTTCAGATGGAGGAGCCCTACACTCTTAGGGAAAGATAATCCCTGAGCTAGGAAATGCCCCTGTTAGATGGAGGAGACATAGTCTCTGAGCTGGGGGAAGCCCCTATCAAATGGGAGAGATATAGTCTCTCTGATGGAGGATACATAGTCCCTGAATGGAGCGAGACCCTGCCTTGTCTGATGGAAGAGACCTGATGGCGAAGGCCCCTGTCTGATGATAGAGACATAGTCCTTGAACTAGAGGAGGTCCCTGTCTAATGGGGGAGACATTGCCCTTGAGTTGGAAGCCCCTAACTAACTGGAAGAAGCATAGTCCCTAGACTGAGGGAGAACCTGTCCTATTTGAGAGAGGATGCCTGACCTCTAGCTGGGCGAGGCTCCTGGCTGATGAGGAAGACAGAGTCACTGATCTGAGTGGGACCCTGGCTTGTCTGCTGGGGGAGACACTGTGCTGTGCTAAGGGAATCCTTGTCTCCTGGGAAACATCTGCCTCAGAGCTGGAGATGGCCCCTGGAATTCCCTTGCAGGTAGCCCTATTTAAGTGAAAGGCATAGCCTCTGCCCTCCAGGAATTTTCCATCTATTCTGGAGCCAGGCTGTGGATGCTGAGGAGAGCTGGGGGATGGGTATAAAACACACTGCAGTGATCAGTGCAGGAGAATGGGCTGGAAGCAATCCGTGGGGCCCTCTGGAATCAGGCAGCCAGAGAGGCACAGGAATAGGGGAGGATGGACCTTGTACTAGGAGTCTGGAGACCCCAGGAAACTCCTGGCCTTACACTGGCCTCTCTGGATAAACTTGGAAAAGTCCCTGCCCATCTCTGGACTCTACCATGCAGTAAGGGCACCTGTACAACCTGGGCCATGCCAGATTAAATTTCATGGCTCAATACAGGGCCTCCGATGCCCTGGCCAGAGCAGCTCATGGCAAGAAGGCTAAGCAGCTACCTGGGGTCAGGGTGAGCCTTGCACCTCCTCACTCAGGCTGGTTGAATGCATAGAATGCAGAAATAAACCAGGTACCAGGAGGCAGGCCTGGCATATAAAAGAGGGGGAATTCCACAGCCCCCACCCACCCTGTCTGAACTGTTTGTCTTTATTTTCTGGCTTCCAAGGAAACAGATCCTAGCCTGGCCCAGGGGGCTAAGGAAGCAGCTGGTTTGGCCATGCTCTGAGGACAGACAGAAATCTTCCCATGACAGATGCCCTGGTCCTGCTGCTGCAGAAACAGAAGGAACCCCCGACCTGGCCCAGAGAACCCCCATGGCCCCACCAGCCTGGCCTGGGAAGTGGTTTGCTCCTCTTCCTCCTTACCTTATATTTGACTTCAGTCTTGCCTACTGGCAGAAACGTGTTAGTGGAAAGAGGATTTCACGTGTCAGAGCAGAAAGTGCCCTTGACACTTTCACCTGGGCTGCCCCTACCAATGAGCATCACCTGGCTGCTAGAGCCCAGAGACGAAAAACTTTCCCACCCTTTCGTGCCCTTCAATTTAGCAGACTTGCAATGGGGGCAACCTGTGAAAGAGGCACCATTTTAGGAGCTAGCAGCAGACTGGGGATGTCATTATTGCCAGAACAGTCACTTTTTTTCCTATCTCCAAGCATTTGCCCCTCCTGTGCCCCTACTCAATTCCTTTTCCTCCTTGCTTCACCTCGCCATATTCCCCCATTCTTTAGGCCCTAGCTCTGTCCCACCTCCAGGAAGGGAAGCCTCCAGGAAGCCTCCCAGCACCAAGCTTGAGGGAGGTCTTTGATTCTGCCCCAGACATACTGACAATTTAATCACATATTAGTCCATATGTCCATTCATTACTTCCTTCATTTCACGAATTCACGAATTCAGGTGCCTCCTATGTCCCAGGCTCTGGAGATTCAGCAATGAACACAACAAACAAAACCCCCTGATCTTTTAAAGGGGGCTTACATTCTGGTAGGGTGACAATAAAACAGCTAGATGAGGGAAAGGTATAGTACATTGGGTAGAGGACTATGGAGAAGCACAAGCTAGGGATGGGGAGATCAGGGCAGGGGATTGGGGCCTGTGTTGGGGATGCAAGAGAGGATGAAGGCCTGGGTGGCTTGGAAAAAGCTGTAGCAGGACAGGATGGAAAGAACTGGGCTGGACAGGGGAGAGGAATGAATACGTAGAATAGAAAAAATGAAATGACATGAGATGGAATGGATGAAATAGAATCAAATAGGATGGCATGGACCCAAACTATACAGAACTAAATAGAATTGAATGGAAAAAAACACACACCTAGAATAAGATATAGTCTAACTCAATGGAACAGATTGAAATAGAATTTCAGAAATAAACTAGAATAAGGGCCAGGTGTCGTGGCTCACATCTGTAATCCCAGCACTTTGGGGTGCCGAGGTGGGAAGATCACTTGAGGCCTAGGGTTCGAGATCAGCTTGGCCGATATGGCAACACCCATCTCTACTAAAACCCATCCCTACTAAAAAAAAACAAAAATTAGCCAGGCGTGGTGGTGCATGCCTGTAGTCCCAGCTACTCAGGAGGCTGAGGCACAAAAATTGCTTGAATCCAGGAGGCGGCAGTTGTAGTGAGCTAAGATTGCACCACTGCACTCCAGCCTGGGCAACAGAGTAACATTCTGTTTCAAAAAAAAAAGAAAGAGAGAAAAAGGACTAGAATAAATGGAATGGAGTCAAGTGGGATAAAATTGATTGCAATAAAATTAAGAGGAATGGGATGGGTTGGAAGGAATGGAACCTCTTGAACCAAGCAGGGCAGCAGGGCAGTCTCCGCTGGACGGCTTGGCTGCCCTGCCTGCTCTGACCTCCTCTGCACTCACCCCCACAGTCTTCCCCAAGGTGCTGCTGCAGACCCTACGCCACCCCACCTTCCTGCTGGTGGTCCTGTCCCAAGTGTGCTTGTCATCTATGGCTGCGGGCATGGGCACCTTCCTGCCTAAGTTCCTGGAGCGCCAGTTTTTTATCACAGCCTCCTACGCCAACCTGCTCATTGGCTGCCTCTCCTTCCCTTCGATCATCGTGGGCATTGTGGTGGGTGGTGCCTTGGTCAAGCGCCTCCACCTGGGCCCCGTGGGCTGCAGTGTCCTTTGCCTGCTGGGGATGCTGCTGTGTCTCTTCTTCAGCCTGCCACTCTTCTTCATCGGCTGCCCCAGCCACCAGATTGCAGGCATCACCCACCAGCCCGGGTGAGTGTGTGTGTGGACACGTGAAGGCAAGCCTGGGAGGGCGGGACAGGGAGGAAGGGGGCCCTGGGCAGAGGCCAGGCCAGAGGGGCACTCCCTGCCTCCAATCTCACCCCCCCACCTCTACTTAACAGCCTTTTAGAGATTCCAGTCAAACAGTGGGGTGCTCCAGAAGGCTCTAGGGAAGGTGTCAGGCACCACTGGAAGGGGCATTCATGGGACTTTAGGGGCAGAAACTCTCAAGCCCGGGGAGGTGTGGAGGCTGAGACAGGGCAGAGTCCGCCATGGGAAGGCATCTCCAGAGTGACCAAGCCCTGTGAGCGCAGTAGAGGTGGGGCAGAGGCCTCATTACAGGAGGCAGGACCAGCTCAGCCGGAGGAATGGCCTGCCCAGGAGGGAGCGTGCTCTCTGTCCCAGGACGAAAGGGGGTGAGAGGGTGAGCAAGGAGCTGGATGGCCCCTATCCGGGAGGCTGCACTGGGGACTCAGACAGGGAAAAGATTGGGCCGCAGACCTCTGACATTCTGTGTTTTAGAGCTTGGGAGCTGAAATTCTGTTTCTCCATGGCTCTAAAATTACAGAGTTCTTTCTCCACATCTGCGAGGCAGTGCCTGCCCCTGCCTTCCGGGGGAAGGCTCTTGACACCTACCTCTCATTCTCCCTCACTCCTTACCCTTGGGAGCCTTCTTGGAGAGGAGGTTGGAAGTTACATTCCTTCCTCTTCTCCAGAATGATTTCATTTTTCCTGGAAACTGCTCCAGGCTTAGGTTGGCCCAAAACTCAGCTAGAATTTCCCGACTTTCTCTGTCTCCACCTCTCCTTCTTGGCATCTTCTGCCTCCATCCAGGCACTAGCTTTCCTCATGGGGTGGGAGGGGTTGGTTCCTCCTGCATGGCTGTTAGGGGCTCAGCTCAGGGCCAGGGAGCACCCAGCCCCTCCCCGTCTGTCCCAGGTCCCACCCTCGCTGGCCTCTCCTCCTCCCCATTTCATTCTCTGCCTCTCTTTTCCCAAATAGGGAGGGAACTCCACTCTCTAGACTGGGGCCTCTTGTGTGCAGAGCCCTGTTCTAGGCATGGCAGCGGGGGCTTTAGCCAGGTCCTCAGGAAGCCCCTGATCTGAGGAGGGAGGCAGGTCCTCAATCAAATGATTTTGAGAATCAAACGTAAATGGATATTTTACCACAATTTTTAAAACAGTACATGGGAGAAAAAGTCAACTCATCCCACAGGCCCATCTCTCTTTTCTTCTCCCTTTACACCTTAGCTTTGACATCTCATGTCACCTTTGTTCTCACTGAAACTCTCACAGTTTATTCACTAAGCTCTGGGGTCTGATTCGCTGAGGAGGTCTTTTGGGACCAACTGAGCTAGGCAAGAAGAACTCTCCATATCCCTGCACAACCACAGGTACCAACAGCTGCAAGAATCGAAGGTCTCCCACACACTGAGCATCTTCCCATATTGCGTCTCAAACCTCCATGGGATCTCTGTAATGGGTCCTGGTATTAGCCCCATTTCACAGATGAGTACAGTGAGGCTTAGAGGGGTGAAGTCACCCCCACAGCTGGAACAGACTCTTTCCATAGAAGCAATCAGCTCCAGATGTGGTCAATGAGAGTGAGGGGTGGAGGAAGGGTCCCCTAGCTCTCACCTGCTCAGTCTTCTAGCTGCTGGCAGAGGGTTCTGGGAAGTGCCTCTCCCTTGGCAGAGTCCCCGGCACCGCCTCCCAATGGGCCCTCAGCTCAGACAGTGCCAGTCTTCCCACTCCCACCCCCACCCCGAGGGAGATGTGCCAAGATGTTGTCAGACACACATGAGCACTGTCTGGTAGAGGAGGAAGAGGAAAGATTCTGTGGCTGATGATCTTCCTTCCCACTTAGATGGAGCACCTCCTCACCCCAGGGAGGGAGAGAAGCTCACTTTGCCCCATGCTCCACTTCCCCGCCTCACACCCTGGCTAGAGACCATCTCTAGCTCTTGCTCACCCTCTTTTCCATGGAACTGAGATTTCACTAAGATCCAGTCTGAGCCTCTCCGATTGGCCTGGGCCTCTGCCCCACACCTGCCCCAAGCCCAAGACAGAAACCTCCAGCTTCTGCCTCTGGCCTCCTCCGTAGCGTGGCCACCAGACTCCTATGTGACCCTAAATGAGGCACAGCCTCTCTGGGCCTCTGTCTTCCTGGCAGATTTGCTGTGCTCCCCTCTAGCATGAAGCCAGGTGACACTCTCAGTCCCAGGGACCACCTCCCTGCTGTCCTCCCAGGGTAACCTCCCTTTCAGACTCAGCCTCCCTCCGACCTCCTGCCCCTGACCACCTTCATCTTGCCTTGGCCACCTGGAACTGGGACACCATGGGGATTTGGGAGCAGACCCTCAGGAGTGAAGCAGGTGGGACTAAAATGTGCCCTAACACAGTGAACAGTGTGGTGGGAGTGAGACTGCAGGATGGCCATGATAGGCAGAGAAACTGAGGCCCAGAGAGGCAGGGCACAGGTGGTCAGGTCTCCTGATCAGGTCCCACACTTATAGCCCTGATTTTCTGAGAAAGGAAGCAATCATTGATTTTCAGGGAAAGGAAGCTCATTGAGGGAAAGATACTCTTCATCTGACACTAACTCCTGGGAGGACTTTATCTTGTATATCCTGAAGAAGGGTCACTGAGGTGCAGAGAGGTTTGAAGAAGCTTAAAGACTTGTAGGATCTAGGGGGCCTGTCTCCCTACTTACACATCTTCATTGCAAGGAGCTCACTATTGTACCATCATGGGGCAGCCCTGATGGTGAAAAGCCTCTTTGTGGAGCTAAAACCTCTGGCCATTGCTCTTGGCTACAGGGCTGAGGAGGCCCCAGCTAGTGGTCTAAGCAGGGAAAACCAGGCCAACCCTATGGGCCTTCTCTCCCACCAGTGCCCAGCCTGGGCTGGAGCTGTTTCCAGGCTGCATGGAGGCCTGCTCCTGCCAATCGGATGGCTTTAACCCTGTCTGCGACCCCAGCACTCGTGTGGAATACATCACACCTTGCCACGCAGGCTGCTCAAGCCGAGTGGTCCAGGATGCTCTGGACAAAAGCCAGGTGAGTCAGGCCTCTGGTGGCAACCTCTGCCCCTCAGGGCTCTGTCTGCCCTGTCTCTGTGGGCCTGCCATACTCTTCACCTCGGCATGCTGTCACTCTCTTCTCTCTTCTCTCTGTCTCTCTCTGTTGACGGATGTAGAACATTATTCTCTCAATAAGCTTTCATTGGCTGGGTGTGGTGGCCCACATCTGTAATCCCAGCCCTTTGGGAGGCTGAGGCAGGTGAATGACTTGAGGTCAGGAGTTCCAGACCAGCCTGACCAATATGGTAAGACTCCATCTCTACTAGAAATGGTGGTCCATGCCTGCAATCCCAGCTAATCGGGAGGCTGAAGCAGGAGAATCACTTGAACCTGGGAGATGGAGGTTGCAGTGAGCCGAGACCACGCCATGGAACTCCAATCTGGGCAACAAAGTGAAACTCCATCTCAAAACATAAAAATAAAGCTTTCATTGCCAGCCTGGGCCCAGGGCACAGAGGTGATCCATTCTGACTTCCAGATCTCTGTGCAGGGGAGATGCAAAAGGAAAAACTCCCAGGAATTCCAGACGTGCTGATAGGCCAGACAACCAGTCCCTACAACTACACACAAAGATGGAAAGACACATCCCACCTGGGCGAGAAGCCTTCATGGAAGTAGCGTTTGTGCCAGACCTTCAAGAATGAATGGGGTAACTAGATCTTGGGAGGGAAGGGCTTTCCAGCAGGGGGAATGGCATAAGTGGAGGTCTGGAGGAACACACTTGCACATGCAAGCATGTACACACAGTGTTTCTGTTGGAGCAGAAGCATAAGGATTCATGAAGGGAAGGTAGGGCCCAAAGAGGGGCCTTGAATGCCAGGCCAAGACTGGGGGCTTTCTGGAGAGCAGTGGGGAGCCATGGATGGGTTTTCAGCAAGGGAGTAACAAGGTCAGATCTGTGTTTAATCACACTTGAGGCCATAACGTGGGGCAGGTGAGCAGAGTACAGGGTAGGACACAGAAGGCCAGTGAGCATTCAGTCAGTCAGTCAGTCAACAGACTTTCACCCGTCTCTTCCTATGTGCCAGGCCCTGTACTGGGAGCTGATGACCCAGAGCCAGGGACCCAGTGGGGAAATGAGGGCAGTGTAATCAGTAGCAGTGCATTCTGAATTTTAGGAAAATGAAGACCAGCTGGTTCCTCCTCCCCTTTTTCCTCAGTCCCCCAAAATGACAAAGGGGGACAATGTCTGCCTTCTCAGCCCTCCAAGGCTGTAATCAACCTGGGGGACAGGGAGGGAGACAGCAGCATCAGGCTGGTTGTTATGACAACATCTCCCTCTTTCCAGAGTCCTCCCACCTCTCACTCTCCTGCTGGGCATCAGCATCTAAGCCCAAGGCTCCTCCAGGGAAAGGCCTGGGCTGGACCAGCTGGTGCAGCAGAACCTGTTGATGGTAGGTAATCCTTCAGACGCCAGCCAGACACCACCTGGGCCTGAGAGCCCTTCCAGAGGCCCTCAGACCTTAGCAGGTGGAGCAGTGAACTCCTGTGGATATGGAGCCCAGTTTAAACCTCTCTTCTGCCTCTAACTGACTGTTACCTTAGGCAAATTATTTAACCAGTGCCTCAGTTTCTTGGTACGTAAAATAGGGGTGATATTATTGATTGCCTACTACAGAGCAGGCAATGTGCTGAATAAATGCTTTACATGGATGAATTCATTAAATAGTAAGAGAAGAGCCACATGACGTTATCCATGAAAGCACACAGCACAGTGCCTAGGAAATTTTAAACACTCAGTAATACGCATTCCTATTACACCCATTGTACAGATGAGACATGGAGGTCCAGGATAGGACCAGGCATTGCCCAGAGGGTCAATACCAGGGCTGGGACTAGACAGCAAGGCCCTGGCCTCCCAGCCAGCCCCCTTTTTGGAGCTTCATGGAGGCTTGGATTTAGGTGCAGTATTTGGAGGAGGGTGTAGCTGAGACCAGGCCAGCACTCGGGAACAGTCATCACACTGGCCTGGAATTGTGTCTTGACATGTGTGCCTCCTCAGATAGTGAGCAGCTTGGCTTAGCGCCCAGCATAGCTTCTTGGTAACAGCTTATGCGTGCGAGAGCAAATGAGGTAAGATGGGGCAGGCTGACGACTGCACAGGTGTGTGGCTGAATGCTCTGGGTTCTGGAATGAGGCTCTGAGGCAGCAAAGGGATTGAAGTCATTCATAAGAAAAACTTCCTGCCATAGAATTAGATGAATGTGACTGAAAGGTCAGGAAAAACCCAAGCGAAGCCTCCAGCCTTTGTGTTCATCCCAGCAATCCTCTGCTTCTGAGAAAAGGAGCAGGGGCAGGATGTCTCCCTTCCAGGAAGCTTGCCTTAGCATTTCTCCATTTCTTGTCCCTCCACTGTATCTCCAGCCTGTAGGTGGAGGTTCAAGAGCCACTTTTCCTATGGTGTAAGATGATATGCACTTAGGGGTCATGCACAAGGGCCAGCACAGCCTCATCCTACATACTGGCTCTGCCGGCGTTGGAGACCATCTGGTCACCCAAGCCTAAGTGCTCATGTGCTCTCTTTCTCCTGCCTTTCTCTGATTCCACCTGCTAAGTAACTTCAAATCCAAACCCTTTTACCCATCCACCCACAAGCCCATTCTCTGTGATGGGCCCCTGGCCTTCCTCCCCCATCTGGTCCCTCCTCCGTGCAGCCCCAAGAACAGACTTTGTACCATCCAGTCTCATCTCCCTTGCTTAAAACTCTCCCCAGGCCCCCAGCATCCACCTCAGGGTTTCCCAACCATTTTCACACTAGGAAGTGTCTGCAGCTGGCAGGGCTGGAGGTGAGAGGCCCAGAGGGCTTCAGCTGCCCAGGCCAGCCAGCCACCTCCAGAACTGATGGGACCAATCTCGGCACACCTGTCTCCCATTTGAAGCCCTGCGTGGCTGAGGCATGAGTCTAGAAGCTCTGATCTATGGGAAAATAAAGAAAAGCTCAGGCTTCATGGCTTGGCCTGGCTTCTATCGGGTGCTTGTGGGCCCTGGCAGTCCGGATCACTTCTCAGAGTCCTTGGCTGGAGGTTTTCCTGGCTACCTAAGGAGACAGTACAGGCTGGGATCAAACACTCCAGGGGGCCAGCCCAGAGGCATGGCCAGCCTGGGGATGTTTTCTTGCAGTTGTTGTGTAGAGTGTGGGAGAATGATGCTCTTCTGGGTCCTTCCCTCTTCTTCTCTACTTTCTGCTTCCTTCTCCCTGCCCATCGCCTCAGCCCAGGCTCAGCTCGACTTGTGCATAGACAGCCCTTGAGGTGCCTGCTCCTCAAGCTGGCCCTGCTCAGCCAACGAGTCAGGATCTCGGGCTCCAGCCAGCTCTACCCCAGCTGGCTGTGGGTCTTGGGCCTTTCAAAAGCCTTCCCAGCTGCAAGCCCTTGGCCAGCTGCCTGCCCTTGGAGGCTCTTGAAGTCTCTTCCCCCTTCCCATTCCAGGTTTTCTACACCAACTGCAGCTGTGTGGCGGGGGACAACCCTGTGCTGGCAGGATCCTGCGACTCAACCTGCAGCCACCTGGTGGTGCCCTTCCTGCTCCTGGTCAGCCTGGGCTCGGCCTTGGCCTGTTTGACCCACACACCCTCTTTCCTGCTCATCCTAAGGTGAGGCCAGGGGCAGGGCAGGGGCAGGTGGATACCAAGAGGTCCTTAACCACAGGCAGGACAAGGAATTCCAAGGGGGAGTTCAAGGAAGGAGGCCACTTAGGTGTCCTGGCTCCCATGACATGGCCTTAACTGTGTTCATCCCATGGCAACCCACTGAGGTGAGGTTTTCTCCCCATCTTGCAGCTAAGAAAACTGAGGCTCAGAGAAGTTCAGGAGCCAGCCTGTCACATAGCACGTGTTGGGTGGAATAGTACCGGTTCCCTGGCCCAGAGCCCAGGCTCCTAACTGCCCAGGGAGAGGAAGACACACCTCGGGCCCTGTCCTGGCCTCTGGAGGGGGGGCATCATACCTGCAATGGATGAGCTGCAGGAGGTGCGTCTTGGAAACCAAACTATGCCAGTCTGGTGCATGACGCTGAATGCTGCTTCAAGGCTACAAGTGCTTATTAGGTGCCCGCTGTGGACCCAGCCCATGCTGAGCACTGCCTTTTGGGCCAAGATCTTTGTGGCCTTCGTCCTAAGGGTGCCCGCTGGCCCTGAAAAACTGTCACCTGAGTTCAAAGTCAGTGTCTCCTAAGGTGGGGGCTGGGATAAGAGGACTGAGTAAGAAAAAAACAGTTTTTCTTTCTTTTTTTGAAATGGAGTTTTGCTCTGTCAACCAGCCTGGAGCGCAATGGTATAATCTTGGCCTACTGCAACCTCCTCCTTCTGGGTTCAAGCGTTTCTCCTGCCTCAACCTCTCTAATAGCTGTGATCACAGGTACCCACTATCACGCCCAGCTAATTGTATTTTTTTTTTTTTTTTTTGAGACGGAGTTTCGCTCTTTTTACCCAGGCTGGAGTGCAATGGCGCAATCTCGGCTCACCGCAACCTCCGCCTCCTGGGTTCAGGCAATTCTCCTGCCTCAGCCTCCTGAGTAGCTGGGACTACAGGCACGTGCCACCATGCCCAGCTAATTTTTTGTATCTTTAGTAGAGACGGGGTTTCACCATGTTGACCAGGATGGTCTCGATCTCTTGACCTTGTGATCCACCCGCCTCGGCCTCCCAAAGTGCTGGGATTACAGCTAATTGTATTTTTAGCAGAGATGAGGTTTCACCATGTTGGCCAGGCTGGTCTCGAACGCCTGACCTCAGTAATCCACCCACCTCAGCCTCCCAAAGTGCTGGGATTACAGGCGTGAGCCACCGCGCCTGGCTAGGTAGAACAGTGTTTCTATTTCTGACACTCAATAATCAACACAGAAGACTCCTGCAACCAGAAGTGTGAGGGTATTTTCCCACACACCAAGCATGTGATCAATTGTGCAGGGGACCCCAGCCAATGTCCTCCAATTCTACTCTGACACGATCTACCTGGAGACAGCATCAGATCCCACAGGCTAAGTGCTCAGTTCCACAAGACTGTCCTTCCTCTCCACATGCCAACCGCAAGCCCCAGGTTGTTTTCCAGTGCTTCTGACCCACCAGCCATACACTGGGATTGCCACAGCCCCATCTTTGAATTTGCTTTATTTGCTAGAGTGGCTTAGAGCTCAGGAAAACATCTACTTAATGTTTATCAGTTTATATAAAAGATATTACAAACGATACAGATGAAGTCATGCACAGGGCAAGGTATGGGGGCGGAGCTTTCATGCCCTCCCTGGCTGTGCCCTGCAGGAACCTCCATGTGTTCAGCTATCTGGAAGCTCTCCAAAGCTTCATTATATAGGCATGATTGGTTAAATCACTGGACATTGGTATCACTTTAACCTTCAGCCCCTCCCCCTTTCCTGGAGGTTGGGGCTGAAAGTCCCAACCCTCTAATCCTGCCTTGGTCCCTCTGGTGACCAAGCCCCAACCTGAAGCTGCCTAGGGGCTGTCTGCCATCAGTCGACACATTAGCAGACAAAAAGACACTTTCTGCTTTGAAGAGTCCAAGAATTTTAGGAGTGTATGCCAGACACCAAATACATATCTCACAATATCACAGGGACCTCAGAGCAAGATAATTTCCATTTTCCTTCTCCTGGGATTATTTTATTCACTATCTACTTTCTAGGAAATTAGAAGGGAAATGGAGCCCCTCGCAAATACCAGAAGATGTGTAGATCTATAACACAAGCTGGCCTGGGAGGGAAAGTAAAGGAATCAGATGCCCAACAGGCAGCCTGGCTAAAAGGAGTTGAGAACAGAGGCTCTGGGCTGCGTGGATACTGGCCCTGACCCCTGTCAACCATGGGATCTTGGCCAAGTTATTAACCTGTCTAAGTGTCAGTCTCCTTATCTGTAAAATGGGGCTAATGTATACCCAGCTCATAGGAGTGATGTGGGGTTGCAGGGCAGAATTACCGAGCCTGTGGTAAGCACTCCATAAATGCCAGCCACTGGTGTTATCTGGTAGGAGCCAGAGGATTTCAGGCTGTGGCATTAGAGTGGTTGGGGGTGCTGGGGAAGTGTCTGGCTGTCCAAGCTCCAGGTCTTGCCAACTGTAGGAGCAAGGGGAGAATTTGATGGGACCAGTGAGTGGAGGAAGAGGAGTGATGTCTGTGACCAGAAACATACGGAGGTCAGCACAGGACCCTGATGGTTAGTGGGTGTGTTGTCTTGCACATGGGACCAGGCTCCACAGGTTGAAAAGGGATGGCGTACAGCCCTGAGGCCCCCAGGCTAGATCTTCAGATGGGAGGGAGGCTGGTGCTGGGTGGTGGGAGAGAAAGGCCTGATGAGACCCCTTCAACATTGATGCGTGGCCCTCGGGGTGGAACCCCTCCAACCTCATGTTGCCCATGTCTCTGCTTGTTAGGGGAGTGAAGAAAGAAGACAAGGCTTTGGCCGTGGGCATCCAGTTCATGTTACTAAGAATATTGGGTAAAGATCTTGCTTGGGACCATTGGTGGTGGTGATGGGGTCCAGAGGCCCACTGTGTGTCAGGCCTGGGGCACAGGCATAAGCGGAACTCAATCCCTGATCTAAGGGCTCATAAACCCATGGGGTGACAGACCTGGCCCAGCTCTCCTAAAGCAGGGTGTGCAGGCAGAAGCCAGCCAGCCTGTCAGGAAGCCACCTCAGATGCAGGGGTGGGGCGGGCTTGAGGGCCAGCGAGCCAAGAGATCCCAGTAACCCAGAGCCCCTTAGGGGATGTGCATGCCAGGGAGGGGGTAGGGCAGGATGGTTGGCCTTCCGTTGCCCCTGAGCACTGCCTCCCTCAGCCTGGATGCCCAGCCCTGTGATCCATGGCAGTGCCATCGACACCACCTGTGTGCACTGGGCCCTGAGCTGTGGGCATCGAGCTGTCTGTCGCTACTACAATAATGACCTGCTCCGAAACCGGTGAGACCTGGGGTGACGGCTATGGGAAGGGTGCTGGAAATACTCTCAGAGTCCCAAGCAGGGAGGGGAGATTTCATTTAAGTCTACCTGCTAGCTGACATGCACTATTATACATTCAGTGCTGAGCTCACCAGTCCTTCATGCTAGACACTGCGTCCCCCTTCTGTAGGTGAGGAAAGTTAGAGTGAAAGCAAGTAGCTCAAGGTCACACAGCTAATAACTGGGGCAGAGCTGGGCTTTGACCACGGAGTCTATGCAGGAATGTGGGGAGAAACAGAGGAGCAGCCATGATGTGAGAGGGACTTGGGGTGAAAGGCTGGGGAGAAAGGCCTGTCTAGGACACAGGAGTCCTGTGTTTCAGGCCCAGCTCTGTCTCCCTCATCATGGGACTTATCTTCTCTGGGGTTCAGTCTTCCCCCCTGTGCAATGGGGAACTCAAAGGAACTTCCCATCTGTACAATGGGGAACTCTGTACAGAGGCAGCTGGCCTGGGATGGATATGGAGAGGTCTTGCTAGCAGGGCTGGGGGCAGGGAGCTGGTCGCTTTCAGCTCTGAGGGGGTGAGGAGAGCACAGTTCCTGTGGGCTGGGACTATCCACGGCAGGGGCAGGGAGGGGGTGCTTCCTAGAAGAGGAAAAGTCAAACAAGGGCCTTGTTGGTTAAACAGGGGAGAGGGAATCCTTTTGTTCTTGCGGCAGGTGGGGCAATACAAAATCGTACTTGTCAGGCCCCCTGAACCCTTAGACAGGCTCGAAGAGAGGCAGGGCCAGCCCAGGCCACATAGCAGAGTTCAGGACAGGGTGATGAAGATGCCCAGGCATCTTCAGCAGAGCCTCTCCCCCTCCTCCAGGGAAGAGCCCCAGCAGAGATCACTGTCTCCCTGAGGCCTCAGTGTCTCTGATTTCACAATGAGGGATGGCTGCTGACGTCCATGCCCTGATCTGGCAGCTCTTGAGTTCAAGGGTTCCCATTCTTTCCCCAGGTTCATCGGCCTCCAGTTCTTCTACAAAACAGGTTCCATGATCTGCTTTGCCTTAGTTTTGGCTGTCCTGAGGCAGCAGACCAAGGAGGCAAGGACCAAGGAGAGTAGATCCAGCCCTGGCCTGGAGCAGCAACTGCTAGTGTCAGAACCAGGGAAGAAGTCGGAGGACTCCCGAGTGTGAGCTGTCCTGGGTCCCCACCTGGCCAAGAGTGGCAGCCACAGCAGTACCTCCTCTGGGCCCTTTGCCAAAGATTGGGTATCAAGAGCCCTATGTTCCATTCTGGCTCCTCCACTAAATTGCCGTGTGACTACAGGCAAGGCACTGATCCTCTCTGAGCCTTTGCTTGCTAGTCTGAACCAAAGAGTTGTTTGGGGTTTGCTATGTTGGCCATCTTTGAAGCAAGAGGGTCTTCCTCTTTCTTCCCCTAGCCAGCCAGGTCCAGGCTTTCCTGGGTAGGACTGCATACCTTTCCCTGGGGCCTAGGATAGTGAAGTGGGCCGTAGTAGGCCAGGCTGCTCTCCATGCTGGGCCCTAGCCCAGGTCTACACTCGCCTGGATCACCCTCTCTGAGCCTCAGCCTCAGTGGAAATGGACTTGCCAGCCTTCCGGCTCATTCAGCTGTGACCATCTGCGGCTAGGGTACATTCAGATCTCCTTCCCAACGTCAGCAGCCTTTAAGAAGTGTCCCTTTGGCGCCCCCTGGAGGCAGAGCACTGAGCTGGACTCTGGATAGACCCCCACAGGGAGGAAGGAGCTGGCCTTAGGTGCAAACACCCAGACTTGGCAGGGCCTTCAGGAGGCCTGTAGTGGGGCCTCAGGAAGCCTTAGCTGGAGCGGGAAGACTCACTCTCCATCTAAGGAAGTTCTAGCCCTTGCCTTCGAGAAGCCACGGTTGAGGTGTGAGCCCCTGCACCTGTCTTAGGGGCCCTGGGTGGGCAAGTCTGGGCCCTGGGGTAGGGAGGGAGACTCAGGCTCACACTTGGGTATTTTCTAGTTTTAGAAAAACACACACTCAGTGTGCTCTCACTGATACCTACACATTACCAAGATTTCGTATCTGTGACCAGGGACCACCAAAGTCTCTGCGACCTTTGTGAATAGGATCCTGATTTCTCTGTTTCCTCGTGGGTGCCTGGGTCTGTGTCACCTGGGGCTGCATGAATAATGTCTAGTTCTGTGACACTGTTTTTTCGGGGGTGGCACCTGGTTCTCCAGATGCCTGGGCTGGCATCATGCCCAGGACTGTAGTGCCGGGAGCAGTAAAGCTCAGCTCCGTGTAATAAGTGATGCTATGACTTGCCTGGATCTGATGACCCAATACTTTTCTACATCAGGCCTTGTTTTGTTTTATGACTAGTCGTATCTGGCCTGGTTATTTCCCTTCAGGGAGGAGAGAGTTTGCTCATCAGCTCCCAGCCCAACCTATTGTCACTATACACCCCACCTGGCTGGGACCTGCTGCTTTGGAGCAGCAGACAGGGAGCCACCAGTAGTGTGGCTTCCTGGCCCTGTGCTGGGGGCTGGGGGGAAGCTGGGGTCACATGCGGCTCTTGCCTTCTGAGAAGCTCTCAGTGCTTGGGCTTTGAGACTTTCCCATGTGATAAAATAAAAAGGGTAACTTAGTTCCATTTGTAAAAGGGTTACTCTCATATCCTTATGTACAGAAATCACATGAACAATAAAGGTTCCATAGTGCATAAAAAATAAAATAATAAAAAGGAAAGGTACAGAAGTTCCAATTCCCTTTTTATTTTGCTGGTTGGTATCTGTAAATGTTTAAAAAATATCTGATTCTGTATGTATCAATGCCAAGAATTTCAAAGTCTCCTCCAACAATATGAGGCTTTTAGGATGTTTATATTCCTTCTGCCTCTATGAACACATAGAGCACTTTCCCAGGTTTTACAAGGGAAAAAACATCTGGAATTATAGATATGGCTTATTATTAAATTTGTTCCTTCATAATGTCTCTTCCATTACAAAAATTCTTTCTTTATAAACTGCATTAGAGGTTTGCAAGGACCACATCAGCTCCATTTACTTAGATTTAAGTTTTACCAGATTCATTGCTCACCATTAATGCTTGTATATTACATCTTTTCCTGTCTTTATATTCTGGTCTAATTTTTGTTTGACTGAGTGACTTCTTCTACTAATGGTTTCAAAACTGGAATAAGGTCACGAGGACTTCTGAATCCTCACCTGTTCAAATTGTCATTCACATTTCACAGAAGAGGAAACGGGCTCAGAACGCACAAGTGACTTCCCCAAGATCACACAGAAAATAAATGATGGAGCCAAGGTTGGATGGAGACCTTGTGGGAACTGAAGGTTTTATAACTTGAGGAGCCCTCTTTAAGAAAAATATACAAAACTGTGAATATAAAATTAGGTACAAAAGTACCTATATTTACCTATAACATAATGAGAAAAGAAATCAACACAGATACATCACACAATCCCCCCAAAATGCATACTTTTGTTAACTGGCTACATAACCTATAAAACACATTTTCTGCCCCGATGATTAGAAGAGTTTTCCACAGACTAGCTTCTGGCTCTGTACATTTCAAACCTGGTTTCTCCTCTTTCTCCTCTACTGCCCATATACTTCCTGGGCTGGGTGCCACGAAACACATTTGTATCATGATATGACCTCTGCATATGGCACCTTAATATCACAATGCTAAGTGAGTTGGGCAGTGGGTAGAATTCCTAGAAGCTATTCTCTACACAGAGATGACTAGCAATGATTTATCCATACATAGAGAACCACATAGATATTAACATATCCTCTGTTTCAGAGAACCCCATAAATATATCCTGATCAACCCAAATCAAATCAGCCCCGCCACTCGGCTTCCCCTTGGTCAAATCCCAGAAGTGCCCATGGCCACTCCAAGGACCTCATATAAAGGAAAATTGAAACACAAGGGAAGTTGGAATGGAAAGAAAATAATAATCTTGATTGTGTTTAAAGTATCTTACCTTTGCCAGTTTTACAAAACTATGACAACATGAACACATCCCTGAGGCCCTCCCTGGATCTGAGGAGAGTTCTGGGTGCTCAAGCTGCATTCACATCACGGTGAGTCGGTCTCTTGGTTGAGTCAAGATCTGAAGGAAGAGATGAGGTCCTTGTGCCTAAAGCCTTCCAAACTGGCCATGGTAAGGAGACTCAGGAGTTACCCAAGAGAGAAATGGGCTGGGAGCCAAGGAGTGGAGCAGATCAGGGTCAGAGGGGTTTCCAGGCCCTGTGGGGGCCCCGGGGAAGTCCTCTCCCCTAATATAGCCTCTTGTCAATGAAAAGCCACAAAAAAGTTGCATCGGTGAGCTTACTTTCTTACCCTGTACCATGAAGCTGGGAGAAGACATTAAGTCTCCCTGATAAGATTCTGCCGGTGTAAAGTCAGCAGAGGACAGGACTCAGACCAGAACTGACATCCTGATGCCTAGGCCTGAGGTTTCTTTTCTTGTAGACCCTGGGAATGTCTGGGATGCTAGATGCTGGGAAGTTCCAGGGCAGGCAGATGACCCATCAGGACCTGGCATCCAGGAGTCATGTCATGACTGGCATGCACATAAGTGAGAGGGAACTCTTGGGCGTCCTCACCATTGCCTGGAGGTGTTGAATTCTTTCCCCCTCACATACCTTTGCTTATGCTGTTCCCTCTGACCTGGGTTACCTTCTTCATCCCCCCACCCGGCCCAGCACTGCTTGTCTCTCCATCCCTACTTTGTGAAGTCCTACCCAATCTTCCAGGCCCGGCTCAAAGGCCACCAACTCCAGGAAGGTAACATGATACAGGCAATGAGGGGGGGCAGGTGACAACCACCTCTGAGGATCTGATCAAAGACATAGACTGTCAATTAAACATAAAACACACAGACATATACACAATTGTGCATCATATTATTTCAGAGGTTGAAGATCATCTGATGCCTGGGTGTAGACCACCTAAGAATCCCAGATCCCCAATCAAAAGCCCTGTGAAAAGATTAGAGCTGTGGAGAGAGTCAGACTTGGGATAAAATCTTGACTCTGCCACTTATTACAGTGTGACTATGAACAAATGATTTAACATCTCTGCCCGTCAGTTTCCTGAGATTGAGCATGCCTAGCTCCTGTCTCCTAGAAGCTGTGATGACTGGGTAAGAAAATGTGCCTGATGGTCAAGATTGTAAGCTCCCTTTCCCTTCTGTCCCTGAAAAACTTAATGCACACATAGAGCATCAGGCTTGGAGGGGGCAGTGATGACAGAGAGGGGAGCACACCTCCTTTCCCTACCCTGGCCACTGCTCCATTGTCCCCTAATCTCTCCTCCACTGTCAGCCAGGGCTCAGCCAGCCCAGCCTTATCTCTCCCCACAGCCAGCTTGGGACAGCTTTTCTCAACCAGATTTACATTTTTATTGATTTTCTTTCTCCCTCCCAGAGCAGTCCCTCCCTTCCGCTTCCCCTTTGGCTATCAAATGGGCTTACCCTGGGAAATAGCAGTTCTGGGGCTGGCCAAGAAGTGATGGTCCAAGGTTGGATTCATTCACCATTCCTTCCTTCATTCATTCATTCAACCACTCATGCAAGCAACATATACTGCTCTGTGCCCCTCTCCTGGCACTGCTGGGGACACAGCCATGTGTCAGGTATAATCTCTACTCAGGAAACTCTCAGTGTAACCAGACAAGCTGACAAACAGTAACAAAAGCATGAGTAGTCATACAGGAGAGAGAAGAGGAAGCCAAGGACTCTCCCTGGGGCCAATAGGGAAGGCTTCCAAGATGTTAGATCAGAGCTGGCCTTAGGAATTAGATGGACTTCCTCAAGTGGAGAAGGTGGGAATGGGCAGGAGAAACAAGAGGATGAGCAATGATAGAGAGAGATATATGGTGACAAGAGCAAAATGGCCAGAGGGCACTGCATGTGCAGGGCAATCAGGAGAGAGAAGAGAACGGAGGCTGGGAAAACCAGCAGGGACTAACTGTGGAGTTCCAGCTGAAGGTTTGGATGCTTTCCCGAGGACAAGGAGGAACCCCTGAAGCATTGATTGATGGATTATTCCATTGGCTAGTTATTTTAAGCAGGGAGTGACATGACAGGATTTGTATTTTGGAAAGGCCACTGGTTGCACCATGGGGGCTTTGAGTGGAAAAGATAAGTGAAGGCCAAGAGCTCAGGCAGGGGGTGGGTGCCACAATCAAGAGAAGCAGGAGAGCTGGAGCCAGGTCAGGAGAGGCATCTTTGAAGTGAGACATCTAAGGTGAGGCTGGAAAGACCAGTGGGAATGCACCAAGCAGTAAGTTGGGAAGGGTGTCAAGGCAGAAGAAACTGTACAAAGACTCAGTAAACAGAAAGCTCCTGGCAGGCATGGGATATTCCACTAGATTAGCAGGGCTGCAACATGGCCTGAGAGAGAAGACATGGGGAGGGTGAGGCTAAAGAAGTGGGTGATGCCCTCAATGCCACTCACTGCTGTCCATCTCCTAAACCTAGCCCCAGGTGAGAGGAGAGGGAGGCTTCACCTCTGTACAGAGGTGGCTATACAGGTCTGAGCCCTAGGACAGGGGTGCTCCTTAGTCCAAATAAACCTTTTCCTGTTCATTACGTTTCACATTTTACACAGTCCCTTTACAGCCAGTCCTCATGGTTTCCTGGTGAAGAAGGCAGGAAAGGGATTATTATTGCCACATTTTAGGTAAAGAAACTGAGGCCCATGAAAGTGCAGAAACTTGCCCAAGGTCACTCAAGAGCCCAGCTATCCCCCTCCTGAGACTCCCATGTTGTTGCTAAAAAGCCTATTTGTCCCTGAGTCACATATACACAATAGATGTAGTAGGGGCTGACTAATGTGGTTGGGATGAAAAAAGCGGGGAGAGAAAGCACATCGGAGAAAGAGGCTTCCTTTTTATGTCCCCATTTACTCAACCTTCATCCTGCAACTGCGGACATTCCAGCTGAGGAAACAGAACCCAGGTCCCTCTGCTTTGGAATTCAATAGACAGGAGGGACAGTTCCAGCTCTGCCACTTACCAGGCATGGGAAGTCTATGCACTCATCTGAGCCTTGGTTTTCTCAAGTGTAAAAGGGAGAAATAAGCTTCACCCATCAGAATCATTGAGAGGATCTAATCTGATAAAGTAGCAATATAGTAATCTACTGCTGAGTAACAAAGTTCCTGGCTGGCACGGTGGCTCACACCTTTGATCCCAGCCACTTGGGAGGCTGAGGCAAGAGGATCCTTGAGCCCCTGAGGCAACATAGTGAGACCCCCATCTCTCCAAAAAATAAAAAAATAAAATAAACTTAGCCAGGTGTGGTACTACCCACACCTGTAGTCTCAGCTTCTTGGGAGGTTTAGGTGGGATGATTGGTTCAGCCCACTGCAGTGAGCGGTGATTGTACCACTGCACTCCAGTCTGGGTAACAAAGCAAGACCCTGCCAAAAACGAACAAACAAAACACACCAAAAAACAAATTTCCCCAAAGTTTAGTAACTTAAAACATAAGTATTTATTATCTCATAGAATTTCTGACGGTCAAGAACCCACAGATGAGCTAACTGGAAGGTCCTGGATCTTCGTTAGAATTTCTGTAGTCAAGTGTCAGACAGGGCTGCAGTCATCAGAAGGCTCAATGGGGGTGAGAGGATCCACTTCCAAGTTCATTCGAAGGTTGCTGTTGGGCCTCTGTACTTTGTTGGCAGTTGACCAAAAGCTTTGGTTCCATGGTGTCTTTTATGATCTAATCTTGGAAGTAACATGCCATAATTTTTGCCATATTCTTTTGACCACATAGACAAGCCCTAGTATAATGTGGGAGGGGAATACAAAAGGGCATGAATACCAGGGGGTATGGATCATGGGGAGCCATTTGGAAGCTGGCTACAACAGCACCAAGACCAGTGCCTGATACACAGTAGGTACCTATTCATTAGTCACTGCTATAACTCTTGCAATGACCTGTCACAG